GAATTTCAAACCCGCAAAACCTAATTTTTCCTGCTCGTCAACTCAAAAAAGCCTCTGAGGACAAGTAGTGGTAATGTGCTTGTTAGTAAGACGTCCAACATAAGGAGACATTTATAATCAACTTGGTTAATGTATTGATAAAGGGAAACTTTCTCCTTTACCCTTAGGGACAAAGTTCAAAAGCGCAAAAGATTTTTAGTTCAGCTCTAGCATGTGTTGTCTAGCGATTTGCCTTGAGCTTCTCTAAATTTTCCAGATCACCCAAGCTGTGCCCATCGTACATAATCTTGTCTGGGCTCCCTTGAAAAATTGCACTTCATCAGAAGCCTTCGAGCTCATCCTCCGCCGCGACAACTTCATGATCTATTTTAATGGGTGGTTTTCTGGAACTATCCTATGGCTTGTCCTTTCTGGTCGTCACTATATTAGCGAGCACGTTTCAATTTCTCTACAGCAAAAGTCTCTATCAGGAGCGAAGCCAGGATTTTCCAGGTGTGCGCACAATTTTCAAAACTTACCTTAAGATCTTATTCAGTTCTCTCGCAACGTTTCCCCGTTACATTTGCTACTTCTGTTAACAAGGTGAGGTTATGTGTGGATGAAATGGCACTTGCAATCGGTGAGAAAATTAGGTTAGACACTTTACCTTCAAGGACGACTCTCACGTCTTGCTGACACTTTCTACCTTAGAAGAGAAAAGTGAAGCTTTACTTTCCCTACTCCGTGTAAAAAATGTCGTTCGGCTGTTCAAACTACTTTTAGAAAACAACAAACTTCCCAAATTTAATTTTTAATAACGGTATAAGGGTAGGAATCCAAATTATTTTCAAATGTTCTTCAAAATGTACGCCATGCAAATGGGGTATTTCACTGATTTTAACACGATGATTGTGAAGTTGTGTCTAGTGAGTACGGGGGCTAATGCCCTATCGTAAAAATCTGAAATTGAAAAAAAAATCTTGTATAACTGAGTAGTACACATTTTTAGTTATTTTATTTAGTTGTGAAAAATCACAAATTTGTTTCTTCTTGAATGTGTAATACTCTCATCCATTGAGTGTTTTCAGTCTTTCCGATATGCAGGGCAGTCGGATAGCGGAAGTTAACATAAATGATCGATTTCCTGAAAAGAAGCTACGATCTTAACTTTCCACCTTCGGGTCTTTTCTCTAGCCATAATTTTTTCCCTCAAGGAATTTTTCTCTGTTTTACATAATAATTGGTCTTGCAAGCTTATCGATTTTGAGAGCCTAGTCCTGAGCCGTATTCTGATGCGATCTACTTTATGTAGCTTTCCCCCCATCTAACAGCTCCTTACTGAACAAAAACGGTTTTGAGTCTATTCAAAGAACTACAATCGGCGACAAAATGAGTTGAGACACTTCGCCCAAAAGTAGGCTTTTTTACGTTTTATGAACTTCAAAAGGAGGAAATATAGCTTTCCTCCCCCATCCCCTCCGTACAATGTTGGGCCCTTGTTCTAGCTACCTGTAGAAAAAACAACAAACACCCCAACTTTGAATGGAGGGGACAGGGGAGGGGGGCGGATTCTTTTGTTCTCCGAAGTCACCCTATTTAAGTACCATGTCTCAACAATTTTGTCGCCGATTGTAGCCAATATTTTTCCAGCGGTAAGCACGATGTTCCTAATTCCCCCTAGTCCCCGTCTTAGACGCTTTCATGTGCACTGGTTAAATTTTCTTTTCATAAGCTATAATGCTCATAATCGGGCATGCTGATGTCTTTTATGCTTAAAAAATTAAAAATTAGTTTATCGAAGAAAGAGTGAATTATTAGTGTCATGAGGCGTTTGTGATTTTATGAACTATTTGACGTGGTCCTTTTTTATGGCTTATGTAATTATGTAATTTTTATGGCTCGACTTTTGGGATACTGTTATGGAGTTATAAACAATGAGTTCATCATCTATATAGCTATCGCCTACTCGCCCCAAAGTGACTGCGTTTCGCTTTTCAGAGACCCATCAGTTACTGTATGACCCTCTCGGATCAGATTTTATGTCCGTGATGTAATACTGGTGGTGAGGTCAGTCCACAAGCAGAGTCGTGAAAAACACCGACACTTGAGCTTTTATGTTCAAAACATTCCTGGCTATCGG